GACCTGGATTGCGTTTGCTTTCTGCTTCAGTTCCACACATTAGACAAAAGTTAAGGTTGTCTTTTGACGACTGTTTGCCAGCAAAATTCAATCCGTTCGTGCGACCTTTTCTCGCAGTTTTGAATGCTTGGCCAACAGTTCTTTTACAAGATTCCGAAACTCAGTATTAACAGCACTCCTCCTGTTTTCTTCAGCCATACCAGAAATTAAATTGTAACTGACACAGCAAGTATCGATGGTCTGCATCACCTCCGGTGAAATATAAGTAGTTGTAAAACTATTTGACCTTTGGATTGAAGATAACAACTGGAGCCTTGTTTACTAGCATTGGGCAGTTGGTGTGTTATCGTGTGACCATCGACTACCATCCGTTGCTGATAGTCTTACAATGTATGATAACCGTGAATGGGTTTTCAGTTATTTAGTTGACAGCCATCCTGGCCATGAGGTTGAAGTAACCTTGACTCACTGTGTTGCTTGCAGGCACAGCAGAGGATAAGGTTGTTCTGATACTGTTAACCTCTCAAAATGTGCAATAAAGGGGCAATACTCACTAGATTTATCCCTTACTTTGTTCTTATGGCACATTTTAAGTTCTACGAGCTGGTCCTTTTCTGCTTACTTGTTAGGCCTCTTTTCGTTTTAGAAAAATGATTACGGCTCCCTACAAAACCCCTCGAACCCTTCTGATTTCTATGGTCTGTATGCTTGTGCTGCCGATATTTTCATACTTCGCTGCTAAACAAATCCTTGGAAGTGAGTTTCGTAGTCCATCCCATTTCATTACTTCTACCACTCATAGATACGTTTCACTTCACGGACAACTCGACGTACATATGGTCGGCCGTCATTGCCGTTTTGGCAGTCCATGCTGTCCTCATATGCGTAATATGGGCTGCCTACAAAGAGGAACAGATAAAACAGATAACGGACGAGAAAGTGGACTAGTGGCCTGCCTTGTCGTCGACAGTTAAAAACTTCTACACTGCGCTTTTTGGCGATTTTCTACGAAAGTTCTGATTCATATATCTGTTTGTAACGCTGCACACCCTTGTGGTGGTGGTTTATCAATCTGTCCTTCATCTTCACTGTACGAAGACACACTAAATAACGGCCCAGACAGGGCTACCTAATGTTATTTCCCAATGTCACCTTGTCAAAACAAGCTGTACACATTCTTCCCCTTTTAAGTAGCCTTCTGTTCAGTTTGACTGTTACTGCGAAATAGCTTTTACAACCGACGTTTAGGTGACCTGCACAATGTCTGTCCGCTTTGCTCGTGAAACTTGGTGCTTTCATCTTTCGACAGGGGAGTACGCCTAATTGTTTCGTTCGTTCTGGTAGCTAGTGATCAGGCTG